GGGGCGGAGCAGCTGTGCTGGTCCTCGCCACCTCCTCGGCCTGCGCGGGTCTCCTCCGGGAAGCCCGAGGTGCGAGCGCATCCCGACCAGCTCGGTAACGGTGGCTGAGTACAGTCCCCGTAATTCGGGCTGAATGCCGCCTGGTGCAGGCAGCATTTTGTTAATTATTTTATTATTTTTTTATTTTATTATTTATTATTTTTATTTTATTATTTTTTATTTTATTATTTTTTATTTTATTTTCTGATTCTTCCGTTGTCCAGCCCCAGCATCCCCTGAACCTGTGTAATTCTTACTGGAGCCCCTGGAAGTTTTGGGCAGGCGAGGCTATACGCGCTCTGCATCCTCTGCACGGAATCCAGGTGTGTTATGCAGAGGCCCTCGGTCACACCTGACTAATTTAAATCTTGGGGTGCCTTCTGTTTAGAGCAGGTAGAAGCATAAAGGCAAAATGCCTGAAATCAGCTGGATCGTTCAGTAAGTTTCTAGTTCCTCTTTCAGCACAGTTATGAATTTGAGAGCATGAGCGGTCTGGCAGAAATGGGCAGCAGGCCTGGAAGCCTTGTTGCACTGGGTAGCAATCTGCTGTTTTTAACCTAATTCTGGCTAGAAGACCACTGTGCCGGCCCACAGTGAAAAGCGCGCGCTCTCTCTCTCTCGTACGTTTTGTTCCGAGATGCATGTGCCCAAATAAATTGTGTACGTGCAGTAGATTTTTTTTTTTTCTGTGCCTTTGACATATCAAACAGTTGCTTTTTGGCCTGTTAGTGTTGGGAGGTATGCAGTGTGATAGCTCCTGTGCTGTATGTTCATCTCCTCAGTGCATAATGAGTATGCATATGTCCACAGATCCAAAAAGTATCTCTTGCCAAACTGCAAACAGATTACTCAAGATGTGTTACAAAACATGATTTTATTCATCCTTTTTTTACACGGCTTTTAATTTCCACTATTTATTGATATATAATTCCAGATGTCTATTTAACCATTATATTAAGGTGTGCAGCATGCAATTTGAATGATGCACAAAATGCGGTGAACAAAATAATTGGCCTTATTTCCTAAGTGTGATTCTCTGATAACAAATTGCTGAATAATTACTGAATGTTTCAAGTATGTCTATGTGATTAGCAAAAATTAACCATCGCTTTTCTATAAAGCACAGTTGATTCTGAACGCAGTGTTATGTCTAATTTTTAACTTACACCGTGTTTCACAGTGAAAGTCGGTTATAGAAAATAATCCAGTGGTAACAATACATTCATGCCTTTTAAACGAAAACATTTCCAGTGCCGTGTTCTTGTACAGGAGTAGTGCTACAGGTTCCCTCTGTTCAGTGAGTTGGAGTGAAAGAGTTAGTGTAACAGCTTTTAATATACCCTTGTTTTTGTGGTTGCCATGGGAATATTTTCATGGCAGGCCTGCACAACCCACGTATGTTCTTCTGAAAGAGCACTCGGAACAGAGGAGTGCTATGTTGTATTAAATTGTGTGCTTTGCTCTCTGCTGCTAGCAGCAAGTGGCCGGGGGGTGTGTGTGTGTAAGGAACCAGTTTTCTGTTTACTTCCTTTTACACCAAACCTTCCCCAAAGCACAACGGTTTCATGCTGTAGCAACTTTCCTCCTGTCCTCACACAGAGGCTGGAAAAATATAAATGTACAAAAATTACTAATGACTAAGCACTTCTCTTCAGTCACTTTCCTTTAGCTACTGTGTACCACTCCTGCTTCACCTCTGTCTTCTGCCCACACACTTCTCTGTAAATCATTGACCTTGCAGCCAGGTAATGGAACTATGGTTTTGTATCTCCCTGCTCTGATTGAAAACTCCTGCTGACATGCCAAACTGCTGCAGAGATCTCTTCTTCTGTCCACTGGGGAATGAAGTATATGATTTTTAAAATGGGCTGCTCCTTCGAGACCAGGTTTGTTATTGCTCCAGATTTGACATGCATTCCTTCAGAAAGTCACTGGTTTTGAGCTGCCTGAGGTGCAGCCAACAGAGATTTTACTGTTACTGCCTTCCGGTGAGGAAGGCATCAGTCGGTGCACATCTGTAGAACAGCGGAAAGCTCTCACAACCTTCAGAGTAGGTGTGCTTGAGTTAGCCGCTATGGCCATAGGCAAAGCAGGTAATCACAGAAGAAACAAAGAGTTGCTGTGCTGATGTGAGGATGCAGACAAACATGTTGCAGAGGTGCCATTCAGCTCTCTCTTTTCTATTTATTTATTTAGGTTAATAAAAGCTGTCCATCTGCAGCGCTCTGACCCTCTTTAGCAGCAGTTCTGCCCATCTTTTATCCAGATCTAATTAGTAGTGTTTAAAATTTAATGAGTAAAAAACCTGATAATGTAACAGCAGTGCAGAAGCCTTCACAACCCTGACAGTCACTGTTGTCCTCAGAAGGGGCTGATGTTTTATCTGAAGATACCACTTCCTTTGCTGCATCATTTTCAGTGTCCTTTATTGCAGGTTTGTTGAAAAACAAAGAATAAAGCAACTAAAGAATTGGCTAACCTAAGTATTACGTAATGAAAACCTGTTAAAAATTAGTCTTCATTAATTTCTTTCAAGTCTAAAAAAAAATGTTCTGTGGCTTCTCTGAAGATTTCAGATCATCTCAGTGCAGTTATTATGACAACGAAGACATTTGAGGAACAGGAGTATTTACTATGGAGTAGATCCTGTTTTATGAGTAAAGCTTCTGCTGAAGTCCTTGAAATTTTAGGGAATGGTGAGGATTAAAAAGGAATATTTTAGAAGAAAATTTCCCAACTTAAAAATGCCTATATGAAAATGCTTCACCACACACTGTATGTTTTATGCCTGGTACTAAAGAATATTTAGATCAGAAGCGTAAAAGGTCCTCATAGAGCTGGAACTTGGGTCGTGACAGGTACTTCTGTTTGCTCAGAGCTCTCTCTTTTTCCTGGAAGGACTGCTTAAGCATGAGGATGGAAACAACTATGAGAAAACTATGAGGTTGTGTCATCAAACTTGCTTATCTTCTTAATTAATTGAGACACTGATGACAGGAATTTTCTTAAAATCAAAACTTGGAATCTGTTCAGAAGTTTCATTTAAAAACTTCCTCCACATGTTTTCAGAACTGCCTTCCTGTCCTGGCTTTTGCCATGGGGACCTCTTTCTTTTCTTGTTTTAAAAGAAGTTAGCAGATTTTAACGTAATGTTATGCCAGTCCTGTTTAAGAAAATGCTTCTCTTAAATTATCGGTGCACAGGTTTTACAATTAAAGTGAGGTTAATTGATTCCCCCCCCCCAAAAGGTGAAGCCTTTTTTAATTATGGTGAATGTTGTTTGAGGTATGCTTAGTGTTTTCCTGTTCACAAGCAACTTGTCATGTTTCTGTAAGTTTAGAACCAAAACCTACTGTAAGATAAAATATTTCTATTGAAATGGTAGGGTTTTAAAATACTTACATAGCTATTCTTGTGTTATTGAGATACTACTGTGCTCTATACTCTTCTTCTTAAGTCTTGCTTTGTATTTGTATGAAGATCTCATAGGCTGTATAATTACAGTAACTCTCACTGCCATCTGTGAGCCAGTTTCACGTTAGTTTAAAAAACAAACGGGTCAGGTGTTTTGGGGGCTATCATCTGAAGATGTTCAATCTGTTTTAAAATAGACTGAAGCAGAGGGCAGAATTGTTTTTCAAAACAAATCTGGGACATGTTATAAGATGCATAACCTCCTCTACTTACTTATCAATGTTTTCTTTTTTGCTCCCTGGTAGTAATTTACAGTGTCATAATACTCCTCCTTTGAAAAGGTAGTTTGCTAAATGAGACGCTATTTTTTGGTGAACATTACCAATCTAGCAGTCCTATACTAGATGCCCATTTGGAGAGGAAAAAACCCCAAACCAAAACAAAGTGTAGTCATGGATGAAATAGCTGTGCATGATGAAATGGAATGGACCCATCTGTGGGAGGATTGTGACCCTCTCCGAGGGATACCACCCTCTCCGGCATGTGCTCAGGCAAAGGGAATCCAGGACATTTCCCTGTCAGTTGATGTGATGAAGGTCTTCATTCGTATTTTCAATCGTCTGTCTCTGTATCTGCCATCAGGAGGTTCTTCCTTTTGTATTCAACTACTCTCATAGCTACTGCAAAGGAATATGAGGCAATTAGGTGGAGCCTGCCATTCTACTAGATTTTTCACAAAAACCTTGGCAATACACAGTAAACAGGACAGAAAGCAGCTGCATTATGTTGTGAGATAGTTCGGTAGCCTAGGCAGCAGGGACGGTATTGTAAGTCACTGACTGATACGTCCTAATTAGTCTGAAAGTTGATTTGATAAGAAGCTTTCCATTCTACCTGCAGGAGCCATCTCATCTCCCAAGGCTCAAAGCAATGCATCATTAAGGAAAGCTTTTCCATTAGCTTATTTAACCATTTTGAAAGGGTGGTATTAGGGAAAGTTCATTCTGTCTCTCCAGCAAAATGTGATAACCGCCCTGGAAGGGGCAAAAAAGGTAAGTTAGGATGGCAAAACTTTGTGCAAGGGATTCCTGCGTAGCTATTATGCAAATAACTAGTGGAGAACCTAAGTTTATATGTAGCAGTTGATGTTAGGGTTACAAACTGCAAAGTCCACAGGATTTTCTTATCTGTACCGCTGAATTGCATAATTTTGACAAACAAGATTAGACACAGGAGAAGCTTCAAGTTCTTTGTAAGAAAGTTCAGTCCATTGTTTACTTGGGCAACTGCCTGCAGTGGTGCTTTTAGTTCGTTAGATTTGTCAGAGTCTAGTTTAGCACTCGACTAGAACCTAATCACACTACAGGTGGTGGTAGGTATTCATCTGCATTAGTGTATTCGTTTGGATCAAGCGTGTACCTTGAGCAAATCTCCTGATTGAGCCTACTTACTGCTGTACAGTGTGCACCACAGAGCAGGCTCAGAGCATATGCATCAGATTCCTTTTTGCACGAGACCAAATGGGAAGACATGCTCTAGGAGCTCACCTTTTGAGCTCCAACCCCTAATGGGATGGATGTTCAGCCTGTAAGACCATATAAGAGCTAGTCTGAAATAAAGCCTTTCATGCATATAGTATGGATACTGGGTATTCACGGTACAACTGCTTTACTCTGCAGATGATCTGCTGTTCTGCACTATTTACTAACCGACACTGCAAATTTGCTGCCTTGGGATACTTCTACTTTTGTAGATCAAGGGTAGTAACATGGAAAGAGTAAGCATTTCAATTTTGTGCTCTTCTTCCATGAAGACACAGTTAAAAATAATTTACTTGGTCATCTTGACCACAGATGTGCACCTGCATCCTTTGTCTTCATCCTCTATGTCTTCTCCTTGCCTACTTTTTTTCTTTCTTTGATTTTCTTGTAGCATTGAGAGGTTGCCAAAAGATCACATTCTGTCTACTTGTGAATTTTGATTTGCTCATTTTACTCCTCGGCACCATTGAGGACAGGAGTAATTTTAAAGACACATGACTTAGCATGCTTCCCCCCCCCGTAGCGAGTGACCATAGTGTCAGTCTCCAGCAAATAGCAAGATGTTCATCACCACAGTGATACGAGTCCGGGTCAAACAGTGTTGCCCACAGTCCCAGGGGCTGTGAGGAGCAGCCCACTGCTCTGGCACCATCCTGGGTGTGTTCAGGCTGTCTAACGTGCTCTCAGGAGTATGCAAGGACTGAAGGACAGCTAGTGGGTGAGTGGAGGTGGTCTTATCAAAAGGTGGAGAACTGTGGCAAAAGCTAAGTAGGCATGTTTGTACTGCTGAAGTAGGCAGCCTGAGCAAGGCAGGCTTATACAGCCCTGATAGTCCCAGAAGTAAACTTCCAGCGCTCCTTGTAGCATCATAAACCAGCAGAGAATTTGCTCTATATTTACATATCTTACACAGGAGCTAATGACAATGAATTAGGTCTCATGCATAATTTAGTCAATTGAGAAGGCTTTTCCTCTTCAGAAGTTACTATTCTGTAAGTAAACAATCTGGGTGGTTTTGGCACGCTTCCCACTGGCACAGTTTCCTTCTCCATAGCACAACGGACAGCTGTAGTTAAGTAGTTCTGTTACTTAAAGATAAAAAGCCATATTGTCTCACTGCCCCTTCCCGGAAAGGGAGCAGCTTGCCTTTGTATTTTGCCTCGGTTCTGTAGCAGCTACTTCACGGAGTGCACTGATACAATGGTAAAGTTTACCATGTTATAAAAGTTTGCTGAGCAACGCCATGGTGGATTGAAGATCTTTCTTTGGTTTTCCTTTACAGAGAATGTGTCTTGATTCACTTACAAAGCTCTCAGTTGTGTTTCTGAAATCAGTCGTTAGTCAGCTGGGCTTCAATTTCTTGAGGAAATTACATTCATCTCATTACAGTTCCAATCGTTTAATTTTTTTATAGCCGTTTTTGAACTTAACATGATTTTCATTCTGGGCTGATAACCTATTTCATCCTTGTAAACTGATGTCAGATATTAAGGTTTTTGCTGCCTTGTGAGATGGTTTGTCAAAATGTGATTGTTCATCTAATTGACTACCTTTATTTCCTTACTGACTGATTTGTGTCTAAGGTTTATAATTTTGTAATGTTGTATGATCCTTGTTTAAAGATATTTTTTGCTGATTTCAGTGGTCAATGAGAGTCCACTGCAGTACATTGGTATTTAAACCATGAATGTCTAGTATTCTTTTAAATAACCCATCCATGCATTTGTATTTTGTGCAACCTTTTCTGTCCTGTCAGTTTTCTGTTCAAACAGCTTGCTTAAAAGTAACGTCAGTGTGAAGTCCCTTCAAAACTCTATTTGCTCCACAAACCGTTACGACGACCAGTATTTGGGGCAGGAGTGCTGTAAGGGAACAGAAAGAGGAATGGACATCAATATCTCAGTTGTGGAGATCCTGAGTTCTGGATAAGTTAGCAAAAAAGGAGATGCTGGAAAGTGCCTGTCAAGCCACAGAGGAGTTGTGTTGACTTAGTCAAGAAACAATGATGATGGGAAGAGCAAGCTTCCGAGGAGAAAGAGAGTGAAATATTTTCAGGGACAAAGCCGCCCACAGGAATTCAACTCATCTTTTTCTTCTCCCCCATCTCCTCCTCTCACCCCTGTCCTTCTTCGTGCTGC